TTTGGTTGACCCTCACTACCCACCCTGCCAGTATGGTCACCCCATGCAGCCTGCTTGTTTAGTCATTTGGCTATCCCTCACTAGACCCATTGCCAGCCTGGTAGGCAGCCTTCTTGTGAGGGCTTAGGGTTAATTTGCATATTAACTCTTTATTATACAGAACTAGAGGTCCAATGCAGGAATTTGTGCATGTGTGGGTCTGGTCATCCATATGGACTGATTGGGCCGGACCAGTGGTAGGGAGGGGCTGCAGGCTGGCTGTGGGGAGAGGCTGAGGGCAGTAGGCCAGCCAGCCCCGTCCCTGATCTGGCTGGCCGCAATGCGCATCATAGCGACCGGTTGTTCTGGTGTTCTGGTTGCTTGGCTTTTATATGTGTGTGTGTGTGTGTGTGTGTGTGTGTGTGTGTGTGTGTGTGTGTGTGTGTATATATATTTATATATATAAAAATACACTTTTTAATATACCCATTTATGGTACTAACCACTATCTGCTAAAATACAATATAGAAATAAACCTTACTGACTTAAGAAAAGGTCTTTGATAAATAAATGGAAGACAATTCAACACTTTATAGTTTGAAAAAATTCTTAATTGTTGATGAAATAGATTTACATTTGTTTTATAATCATTTCCTCTTTTCCAAGCAAGATGTGTGTGCAAACATACATGTGTATACGGACTGAAAAATCAACTGCAGTTTCAAGTGCAGTTCAGAGTAAGAAAATTAAAGAAGATGAGTGTTGTTGAGTACTAGTTTTTATACCTGGAGTTTCTATTTCAACCCAACAAGTCTTTTTGGGTTTCTCTACACTATGCTAAGTGTAGAGAATATAAAAAAGAGGGAGGAAGAGTGAGAAGAAAAATAAAATTCAGTCCCTATTTTTATGAAATTCATAATTTTGTAGAAGATGCAACTACATTCAAGTAAACGGTAGAAAATAGACATTTATATAAAACCAGTAAAGAATAATAATTATGTGGAATGTAGAAAATGAGGGTAGCAAATCCTAGCTGGAGTGGGGAGTAGAAGCTGTGAGAAGGTCTCCCTAAGTGACAACTGGTTTGGTTTTAAAGGTTCAGAAGGATCCTGGCAGAAAGTAGAGAGGCGTCCTAGGTAAAATATGCAGCATGTAACAAAGGCATAAGATGTAAAAGTGCCTACCTAGAACATTTGGGGTAACAACTTCTACTGTGATACAGTCTAGGTAAAGGAGATTATTTGAAAATGAAGTCAGAAAGTGAGACTAGAGCCAAATTATAAAAAATTTGAATGTCATAAAGAAGTAGGTAATCAGGGAATCACTGAAAAACTTTGAGCATATCCTATCTATTAAAGAGGTAATATGCAAACTGATTGTCACTCCAACACACAAGATGTCCACCCCCATGTGGAGGGCAATTAGGGGTGACTGGACGAGCAGAGGAGTGCAGTTGGGGGCAACCAGGCCAGCAAGGGAGGGCAGTTAGAGGCAACCAAGCTGGCAGGGGAGGGCAGTTGGGGTAACCAAGGTGGCAAGGGAGGGCAGTTAGGGGTGATCAGGCCAGCAGAAGAGGGCAGTTGAAGGCAACCAGGCTGGCAGGAGAGGGCAGTTAGAGGTGACCAGGCCAGCAGAGGAGGGCAGTTAGTGGAAATCAGGTCAGCAGGGGAGCAGTTAGGCATCTATTAAGCTGGCAGGCAGAAGCAGTTAGGGGCAATCAGGCAGGCGAACAGTTGGTAGCCAGCAGTCCTGGATTGTGAGAGGGATATCCGACTGCTCATTTAAGGATGAGGCCTAAACAGATAGTCGAATATCCCTCGAGGAGTTCCAGATTGGAGAGGGTGCAAGCTGGGCTGAGGGACACACAACCTCCCCCCGATGCATGAATTTCGTGCACCGGGCCTCTATTGTGTGATATATTTAGGTACAAGATAGTTCAAGTACTGAATTGCCAATTCTGTCCTTAAACACTTAAAACTGCACTAGAGCAAGAATGGCAATAAATATGTTTTGGGTACATATATTAGAAAGTGCTATGTACTATGAAGAAAATACATGTATAGAAGGAAGCAGCATGGTCAGAAGTGTTATGTGATATGAAGAAAATACAAGTATAGGAGGAAGTAGTATGGTCAGGGTAGGCCTTATTAAAGTGAATCTGAAAAGAGAATTGAAAGAGGAGTTGAGCCATGCAGTTAATCTGGAAAAAATATGTTGCAAGCAGAAAAGCACACCCAAAACAAAGGCCCGAATACAGAAATATGCCTAGAGTACTTATGGACTATTAAAGGCCCGGTGTATGAAACTCATGCAAGGAGGGGGAGGGTGTCCCTCAGCCCAGCCTGCACCCTCTACAATCCAGGGCCCTTTGATGGATCCCGGTGGGATCAGGCCTAAACTGGCAGTCAGACAACCCTCTTACAATCCAGGACTGCTGGCTCCTAACTGCTCACCTGCCTGCCTGCCTGATCTCCCCTAATTGCCCTCCCTAGCCGGCCTGATTGCCACGCCCCTCCCCCCTCCACCCAACAGCTCTCCGGCCAGATTGCCCCTAACTGCCTCTGCCTCAGCCCCTGCCACTGTGATTTTGTCCAGAAGGAGGACTGGACAACTGGAAGATATATTATCTAATTAGCATATTACCCTTTTATTAGTCTAGATTAGGAGATGAATGTGGAGAAAAGGGGGAGGAATTAAAGGATGATCATGTAGGACCCTGCAGACAACTGCAAGGGCTTTAATTTTATTCTGAATAATACAGCAAGCACTGCAAGTGACATGTAAGTAGAGGAATGGCATGATTTGACAGATTTTAAAAAGAACTACTCTGACTATGTGCTGACAACAGACTACAGTGTGGCAAAGGTGGAAGCAGGAACTTGGCTAGGAGGCTATTGCAGTGATTCAGGTGAGAAATGACAGATCATGTGGGTGATGAGAAACGGTGAGCCTGCAGATGTGTAATATTTTAAAGGTAGTGTTAATCAGATTTTTCTGACACATTGGATGTGGGGTGTGAGAGAAGAGTCAGGAAAGTGGTCAAAGATCTGGACTGACAAAATGGGAGGGCAGAGTTAACTCAAATGAGAAAGACTGCTGGTGGAGCAGGTTTTTGGGGAAAGATGGAAAGTTCAATTTTTGACATATTCGAAATATCTATTAGACAATGAACCAGGCTTTGGGGTGTATAAGTTTGGAGTTCAAAGAAAAGTTCTGGGCTGGAACTTCTGTTTGTTCTGCCTACAACAAATCCTGCATTCCAGGCTTGCAGAACTATAAGCAAGTCTCTACTGTGTTCCTCAATTCTTTGTGCCTTCATATCTCTGTGTAGAGTGTTCTTACTCCTGTCTTTTCCCACGTGGTAAAAAATTCCACCTCTTCAAAACTTATGGTAGGTATTTGTTTTATGAAACTCAGATGATTATCATCTGCTGAAGAACCCTATTTCCTAAACCACTTAAAAAACTGAAATATGCAATGGCTGGTGTTTTAACATACTCTAAAGGCTAAACAATTTTAATTTCTTTTTTGTTAAGAAAAAAGCAGCCACTTCAAAAGCACCAGCAACTTGTCTGCTCATTATCAGAAATCTTTAAAGAAAATCAAGACCACAGAAAAAAATCTTGGCAGCTGAGTAACCAGATTTTGCATTTTCCAAATTCAGTAGTTATTTGAAGACAAATCTTCAAAGACTTTACAGGCTATAAACAAAGAGAGAAACATCTTTTGCCTAAGTTCCAAAGTTATAAAAAAATTTTCATTTTAATTGTTATACTTTTATTTGCTGTGGGGAGGCATTTAAATTAGAGGAATTATTGGACAAGAAAACCAATCTCTCTCTCTTTTTTTTATTCCCAAGAGATAAACTCTAATTTGAGAAAAGGAGAAAAATTAAAAAGATGATGTACAATTTAGAGATGATCCAGCTCAACCAGCTCCTAAAGGAGAATAATGAAATCTGGGAGGCTGCCACTCCACATCACCAGGTGTTCTCCACTACCAGCTCTGTGCAGTTACAGTCCACTAAAATGAAGCTCCACAGGGCAGAATTTTGTCTGTTTTGTTTCACCTAGTAAGTACTGAAACAGACAAATTTATGATTCTAAACTATATGGGGCTGAAATACATTCAATATAAACTATAATAGTATAATACAATTCTTCAGGATTTAAAAATTGCTGACTCTGAAAGTAAAATAAAATTTAAATATCAAGAATTTGTAATCATTATCTTTAATTACAAAATGTTAGCCACATACAAAAGTGGGAAAGTGAGGACCCTGAAGCAAAAGCTTTAACAAAGTAATAAGTTTATAAAATGTTCTCTGCAGATCAAAAGTAAAGGATGATATTCTAGTAATACACTTGTTTTATATAGTATAGTATTTTAGATATTATGGGAAGATCATAACCTTTGAAAATAAAATAGTACAAAGATATCATTACACAGCTTTGGAAAAAAATCAGGATTTATATGGATAACTAGAAAAAGAAGTTTTAAAATGTTTGATTCCTTGTTATAATATATAAGTGTCTTAAATACCACAAATAAACAACCCATGTTCTGAAAGTTTCCTTGCCAAAGAAACTCTTACTTGGAGTTTTTAAAAATTGAAGTATAAATGACATATAACATATTTTTAGGTATAGTATTAATTGTTCAACATAATGACTTCATAATCACATACATTGCAAAATGATCACCATAATAAGTGTAGTTAACTTTAGTTACCATGCATAGTTACAAAACATTTTTTCTTATGATGAGAATTTTTAAGATCTACTCTCTTAGCAACTTTCATATATGCAATAAAATATTAAATGTAGTCACCTTGCTGTAAACTACCTCCCTAAGACTTATTTTTTAACTGGAAGTTTGTTCTTACTTGGTTTTAAAACCAAACAGCTTTTGAAAACCCTTTCAATTACAACCATAGTTACAGTCAATAGGCAATCTAACATACGCATTTCAATCCCTAAAAGGAAATATCAAGTATTATTTTAAAGTTAAAAAACACCAACCTCTTTAATCTCATGTAGTTTTCACTTGCAGCAGGTCGGCATTCAGCTCTTTGTACCACTATTCCTTCCAATGAAAGCTTATCTTGAATGGAAAGAAAAAAATAACAAATGTATCAGAGTTAACATTTATCATATTCAAGATTGTATTCTGACACATTACCCACAGTAATAGCAAAAAGAAATAGTATAAATCAAAGAAACAAAAGAAATATATTTTAAAATTATAGTTTACATTCAGTATTATTCTGTAATAGTGTCAGGTATACAGTATAGTGGTTAGACATTTATATAATTCATGAAGTGATACCCCCGATAAGTCTAGTACCCACCTGATCTCATACATAGTTCTTATTATATTACTGACTATATTCCCTATGCGGTAATTTACATCTCTGTAACTATTCTGTAACTACCAATTTGTATTTCTTAATCTCCTCACCTGTTTCACCATCCTCTCCACCCCATTTTCCTCTGTTGGTTAACTGTCAGTCTGTTCTCAGTATCTATGAGTCTGTTTCTATCTTGTTCATTTTTTTCCAAATGAATATTTTAAAGTTTATAGTAGAGTCATTGGTCAGAATAGAGAAAAACTTTATTCTTGGCTAGTAAATAAAACAACAGGCTCCTGTCAGGTTTATTTATTGGGCTGCTGCAGCTCCTTCCAATAAAAGAGCTTTTATGCACTTGGCTCTTTCTCAAGAGAATAGTTTAAAAGGACAAAAATTTTAATATATGCAGGCATGTGTACACATCCATATATATGTAAATAAAATCCTAGAATACACAGTGACTTGAACAGCCAGCCTAGAAAATATTGTGAAACTGGCAGGTCCATTGTCTAAGTCTGTGAACCAGTTCTGCCTGCCAGTTGCTCTGACTTCTCTTTCCAGCAGAATCATTAATTTGGGTGTGTCCAAACCAGACACTGAAGTGTTATTGTCCAAACAGAAGGACAATTTTTCCTACCATTAAAAAGATTTTTCTTGGTGACCCTCATACAAAATCCAAGAGAAACAGAAAAAGGAAACAAAAGTTAGCACTACTGTGTGCTTACTAGGCACCAAGCATTGTGGTAAAGTCATTTAAAATACTGAATCTTATTTGATAATATATATGACTACCCCATGAGAGTATCAGCTTTGCTACAATCTGGAAATGTATGACTATAGTTAGAAAAAGCTATGGCTCAGTCATATTTTTGTGAGAATCCACCCAGGTTTTGAGAAGAGAATCAAGAAATTCTTTGGCTCATCAGTCATGCATTTATGATTCAGCTCTTCAGGGTGAATGACTTTATGCACTACTCTAACCTTAACTAAATGCCTACTATGTGATGGGCACCATCTAAGCATTGTGGAATCAAAGATGATTAAGACACAGTACTATCTTCAGGAAACATGCAGTTCCCTGGGGGAGAGAGAGAAACTGACCAAATTGTAAAGTGCAGACAAAACCGCACTTACAAGATTTATACTAGAAAAACTCTCAAAGGGTGATGACCTTTCTTAATTTTGTGTTCAAATTCCAAGAGACTCCCTGTTGTAGGCCATATGCAATAATTGTGAACACACTATGTAATTCAATGGTTCAAGAGTCCATCAGTGCAACATATGCAACAAATCTCAAGAAGAACCTGTCAGATGACAAAAAGAGCAATGATGAGAAATGCCTACCTTACCACAAAGAATGCCAGGAAGGAAATAATAAGCTTCCAATTATTTTATATTAAATTTAAAACATCTAAAAAAATTCTTATTAAGGGATTTAGTAAGATTAGAATTTTAATTTTCTTAAAACAAAAACAAATCTTATATTAGAGTTTGCTTCTCACTGAAGCTGAAAGTTCTATCTAGAAAACCAACTTAACAATAAAAAGATTTGGGAAAATTTCAATGTATAAAGTATTATAAATGTATTAGAACAAGCACACTATTAAAACACATATTAATCCTTTTTTTTTTTGTTACTCCTTACCCAACGATATTTTTTTCTATTTATTTTTTAGAGAGAGTGGAAGGAGGGAGGGGGAGAGAAACATCAATGCAAGAGAGACATGATCTCCAAAAGGGGCTGAGGATAGAACCTGCAACTCAGGTAGGTACAAGCCCTTGACCGGGAATCGAACCAGAGACCCTTTGGTGTGCGGGTCAACACTCTAACCACTGAGTAACACCAACCAGGGCAGTAATACTTTTTAAAAAACAAAATACATCTAAAATACTGTTCCTGAAAAAATGTTATTTATATAGATCCATGTTTATTAATGTTGAATACCACAAGAGGTACCTAATACAACCTGTGAATGCTCCTCACCTATTTAGTAGTATCTACTACTGCACATGAACAGGCTAATTTAATTTCTAGTTTCAATATTCTCTATATAACACTGGGAAGGGTAAGAAGTGTCCAAAGCACCTGGCCACCACTCTCATCACTATTATTTAATCAGAGTCACTCGCACAAAGCAATAAAATTCACTTTCCAAAACCATAGTTTTATGACCATTATATTACATTTTGAAACAAAAAAATAACTTTTTCTTTAAATCTCAAATAGCTTTTAAATGCTTCTTAAGGGAAAAGAGAAGTCTTCGTACCAATTAATTGGCTGCTCTTAATGTCACATCTCTCTTCACTGTTATTCTTTCTCCCTTCTCCTCTTAATTAAAATTTAAAAAGCCAATTTATTTATGATATAGCTCTCTAAGCAGAGTGTAAAGCCTTCATATACCTAAAGGCTTCACAGGAACATGTTTTCATATTCTTTCCACTAAACCATGCTTCTTTCTTTCCTCAAGACATTGCTTAAGATTTTAGGGGGAAGGTATTAAATATTATATTTAATTACTTAAAGCATTTGAATACCAGTGCTGTTAATTATAGATCATATTTATTAAATATAGGAACCCTTTCTTGAGACTATTTTGTTGGCCCATTTTGAAAGACCATAAAAACTTGAAAAAAATCCATTATTTTGCTCAAACATGTAACAGATATTTACTGAGTGCCTTTCAAGTAAAAAAAAAACATCAAGAATAGCAAAGATAAATGAAACATGGCTCCTGCCTTCAAGGAGTGGAGTCTGTTACAGCTCATCACAAATGGTCCGTGGTACATACTCTTAAAAAGTATTAAGGACCAAGAGTTTTCATTTATGTGGGTTTTGTCCACCAATAATTACCATAGTAGACACTAAAACTGAAAAATGTTTAGACAATCAGGGTGAAAAAGACATAAAAGCCTTGGCATTATTATGAAAGTACTTTTGATTTCACAGACCCCTCGAAAGGGTTTCAGGGACTCCTGTCCCCAGCAGTTTTCAGATCATTTATTCAGAGCTGCTGGTCTAGTAGGATGATAACATAGGTATACAAATCATTATAACACCCTAGAGGCACTTTTGAAAAACCTCCACCTGACACACTTCCAGATTACCAAGACTCTTAATTGCCCTCTTTTAAATATGACAGGTGCCCACAGCTTACTCTGCATTAGTGCGTGGCAGGTTAATCTCCACACTTCTGCTCCAATTATGCTAGAATCCACTTATGTTAACTTTGCTCTGTTGATAATTGTGCAATCTGATTATATACTAAATAATCCCATTAATTATGTGTATGGGAAAGGGATATGCTTCTACGAAACGTCTAGAAAGATTCTGCATTCAATTTGTTTCCCAGTGTCTAAGTTCTTGCTCCTTTTTAAAGAAATCAAAATTGAAAATCTAACTCAATTGTAGGTTTAATTTTCACAAGAAAAAGCAGATGCTCAATGAGCATACTATATTGAAAGTAATGACCTACATGAACTTTGGTAATTAAATGTACATTTATAAGTTTTCAGATATAAAAAGAAATATGGAACTGCTTATCTAGGAAAAAAAGTTTTAAGATATAATGTTTAAGGCAGTAGAAATGTATATTAATATCATATTATGATTCCCTACCTTTGAGTTTAACTGATTGAGTATAGGTCCTTCCATATGGGTGTGGGATTCTACTGTACTACTATGAAGTAGAATTTGTTAAGGACTATAAGATAAAGACATACAGAGTACTGGAAATCACACACACACATAACACACACACACACACCCACACACACACACACACACACACCCCTTGAAAAATGGGTAGGATTTCGACTGGTAGACAAATCAGAAGGGCACTGAAGGTTGTGGGAATAGTGTGTGCAATGGCTTTCATCTCTGCCTCTCTCTCACTTGAAATTTTAAACTAAGGGACCTCACCACAAATCACTGAAATGATGTGGTCATGACACTACTTTTAAGAGAAGCCACTTAAGCTCATTCTTCTGAAAATTTTGGAATGGCTCAATTCCTACCTTTTCCTAGACTTAGTTATTTGTTCAAATCTTCTTTGGATTCTGGGAACTATTCCAAATCCTTTTTAAATTCTATCCCCCCTAACCCTCCACCCCTCCTTTTTTGCTAAATTGTTTTACTAATTGGTTTCTGCCAATTGTTTCTGCCAATAATGAGTATGAACACACTTTTGGTGATAGTATTTTATCTATAAAATTTTGAAGAAAGATTTTTAAAAGTTAAGTATACAAAACACATTCCATAAAAATAACTGAAGACTTCTAGTTCTGATACTGTCATAAACAACAGTGTTACTTTGGTGACATTATTTCACATCTCTGGGCCTCAGCAATGAAGTTACTGGAAGCTCTAAGATCTCTTTAAAAAAGAGAAAAGAAACACATAACTGGCCTTCCTATATACTTGGAGAAGTTTTATTATTTCATCAGTGTTTATTTTGTTTGCTCTATCACTTTCTAAAAGATCTATATATAATTAAATTTTCTTTGAATAGAAATTAGAGAGAAAATGTTTCTTAGACTGACAAAATGTTGAGAAGCTGCCCAAAGACCTGATAATACACAAATTTCTGCTCTAAGCTGAACCTTTCTACTTTATATCTCAATTTGAGATATACTCTGTGTTGAAGAATTCAAGAGAATTAAGTGGCGCTTTTTACAAGTTAAGGGCACTCCTCGTTTGAACAAGTTAAAGCAATAAGTAAGCAGGAAGGGTGCTCATTAGCATCGGCATGTAAGT